TGTATATATTTGACATTTATTAAAAATTATGATCAACAATTTGTACATGACTTAGATTTTTTCAAACTGAGAGTTTGCTTGTATTTCTATTTATTGAAAGTTATATTGAACAATTAGAAAATGTAATTAATACAGGAAGATCATTGATAACATTAATTCAACCAATATCTAATATACTTCTTAAACTTAACACACAACCAGATTTATTTTTTTTTATATTTCAATCTGCTTATCAGGCTGTATATAATAAGTTTGTTGATCATATTAGAAATTATCCTGTATGACTCTTATTTCAAGAAGCATGAATTTTTGATCCTATTTTATTACACTTTTTACTATTAATTATAATATTTCATCATATTCTTGCATTTATGAATTGTCAAATCTTTAACTAACCTAATTCAAGAATGGGCAATTTATTGTAACTTTAATTTTGCTACAATTGAGTTTCAAACTTTAGATGAATTTTGGACTAAGGTCTCTTATTAGCTATCTTTATTAAGTGAAATCACATTGGATTATATTTGGTTGCCTATATCTTGCAGTGTAGAGTAAAGCTTTTCACATATAACAAAATTTTAAATGATGATAGACAAAATCTTAGTGAAGAATCGCTCCAAGCTCTTACAATGATGTATTTTAATCAATGATTTTAAGGGTCATATTAATGAAATTTTATAAATAAAATTTTATTACAAGTTTGATGGGTGCAATAATAATCTTAGTTTACATATCTTTTCAAATTCTGATCACGTTACACATGATACTTCATTCTAATTGGTTGAACCGGGAATATCGATATTTTTTACCAAATCGATCGATATTTTTGCAAAATCAAACTGATATTATTCACCGTCTCTGTCCCTGTTCTGGGGTAGTTTGTCCCTAACTACTATTTGCGTGACCACACACTGTCCCTAAGAACTGTCCATAGATTTTCCATGATCAACCCAGGTGACCTGCAGGTTTTTGGACGGGTCTAATCACTAATTAAAATCGATTTAGATTTCAACACTAAATCAATATTTGCTTATTTCACAGACCACTAATTACAAAATTTTTGATTTACTTAAATTTTAAAAATTTGCATAAAATATTAATTCTGACTAACTTTTAACTAATAACACAAAATTTTAGTAGTAATAGGAATACTTTGATTCCAATTAAATAAATTATTAGGATCGTATTTTTGTTTAATTTCTACTAATTTTCCAAAAGATTTACCATAATATCTGCATTGCCAATTATCTAATTTTCTATCAATGAAGTTTTGATAACTTTCAAAACTAGTAAAATTTTTTTGAAAGACTCGAGAAAAACTTTCTAAATCTTCTAGACAGATTTCATAGTTATCCTTATCTAAGGTTCGCTTCAATTACCATCATATATATAGAATTTCTGTGAACGAATGCCATCTCATTTCGTTCAATTTCGTTAACTTTTCTACCACCAATTAACATTGTTCTTACAAAAAATACATATTTGAAATTTCTCATAAATTCCATTAAATACTCAATATCTTCATAAGATAGTCCTGGCGAGTCAATAAAGAAAACCGTAGTTTTATAATGATTAAACATCTTCCAAGCTGTATCTACAATATTTGCATGATACCAATCCCATTCAACATATGATTCCTTTTTAGGTTTAGTCAATTTCATAAATTTTTGTATGTGAGGTTTTATTTCATTTAAAGAGCCTAGATAAATCCCCAAACGTCAAATGTAATACCATTTTGATGATCGAACATTAAAGTTAAATTTGGATGAAAACTGTTATCCAATTTATTCATCACTGAATATACTAATTGAGTCTGATCAAAATCATAAGTAACATTTATACTAGTTACGATTTTCAGAATAGGATAAATCTTAAGAGTTAAAGTAGTAACAATACTATAGCCTGCATTTTCAGCACCCCGAAGAGCCCAAAAAAGATCAGGATATTCTTTAGCATGATTAACTATTGTTCTATTTGCTAAGACAATTTGAGCATCAAGAATATTATCAGATAACGTTCCAAATTTTCACATTAAATATCCAAGACCCTATTGAAAAAAATTCATATCTGTTATAGATAAAATAGTGATAAAAAATTTTCAAACAATACAGTACTTATACCACCCAAAATAATACTGCCAACACCAGTTGTAGTACATTCACCAGTTGGAAAAGCAAATACATGCTCATTCAAACTATGAAATAGTGTATCCAGAACATTTCCTGTTTTGACTATAGCAGTTTGTGTTGCTACATCTATGATAAGCTTATTCATGTATCTAAGATCAACAATTAAAATACAATCTCTATCTCCAATACTATAACCTTCAAGAGAATGACCACCTGATTTTGCAATAACAGTAAAATTTAACTTTGCACTACATTTAATAGTACTCTGAACATCCAATGCATTTACTGGATAGACAAATGCTACCGAAAAATGAACTACTTGTGCATTAAATTGCACGAAAATATCATCTTTATAGGCAAAATCTTGACGATAATAAATAGGACCTTTATTATAATGATTGAGACATTTTTGAAGAGTGTCTTCTTCTGGACATTTATAATTTGGAATATATAAGGAAGCATGAACAATTGAAGTAAAAAAACATATCATGTATAAATAAGAAATCATTGTAGCCCAATTGAG